TCATCTGATACAAAACTGCGTTTTACGTGTTCAGGTAACTGGATGAATGTTGCAATCTAACAATATAAAAAAAGAACACGTACACGTGAATGATGCCTGGGATATCTTCTGACCTATGCCATGCTCGTGTATTTGCGAACACTATAAATCAACGATGTGATAGGATGTTTTACTGCGATCTCGCCAGTCCTTCTCATTTTAGGTTTAGTTACTAATTGGAAGAATGATATAATCAACCCACTTGTCTGGCAATATTAATCAAAGCTCTATAAAAAAAAGAATCAGCAGATTTTTAATTAAAACTCGTGATTTATCATTACAAAATTAATATTGTTTGTATTTTTTGTGGGTTTTTTTCGGAATCATTGTAGTTGCAGTAAGAAAATACCAACGGCCAATTTCCTATACAAAGTAATCGAGCATTATGATGAATGTGGTGTTATTATTATTATTTGGCATAATGTGCAACACAAGTACAATACAGTACTGACAGTGATAAGTAGGTTAGCCGGAAACGTTTATGAATTTTAAACTATTTCCTTCTTGTTACTAAGATTCGTGTAAAGCGGATTATGATGCCGTATAGTAGGATGTGATGTGCAAACAAACAAATTATGAATGTATTTTACACGCGTTGTGTACGTCGCTTTGAGTCCCGTGTCAAACAGAACGCGCAGCGACGATCGTCTTTTAAATGTATAATTTGTCAATATTCGAAATGTTGTAATAGTTGTTCATCCGTCTTAGATTTCGAAGAATTTTTATTCGTGCGTTAGGTAGAGAGAATATGCCGTCTTATGTGTTTGCGTTTTGCGCGCGTGCGCTCGCACGGTGACTGGATCGCATAAACCGGTCATTTGCACGGAAAGATAAAAGTAGCGGCGGTGTTCGCTGCTGTTATATTCGTATATACATGTTTGGGTTCATTGCTTTCATTAAAGCGGGAGGGTCGTTACCTGCGCACGCGCGGGAATTGAGTCCCAAACGATTATAACAACGTACTCTAATAACGCAAAGGCTCATGTTTGTAGACGCTTGTTTTTAAACAATGACACTATGCTATGGCTATCTGACGCATGCGCAGGTGACGACACCCCCGCTTTAAACATCTCGTGGGTAACGTTGTCACGACAATTCGGGAGCTAGCGCTGAACAGTGAGGAACATTTGTTATCAGAAAATCGCATGTTGGTAGGCACAAATGTAAACACATGACGTCACAGAGTAACGGTCTACATGCCTATATTTGTTTACGTTTTCCCCAATCAGCATGTGCCTGTCCAATAATGCATGGTATGTACTAATCATCAGTAGATCACGATCCGCTAACTCAGCATTGCTTGGACGTCGTTTTATTAACTACGACGCGTAACATCAGCACACAACTCTAGTTTTATATTTTAGGTAGGATGCGCACTGACTGGTTTTTGCCAACCTTAGTGGCAAAACATTGCTTTACTTTTACAATTAACCACATAACAAGGCAGTCTGTTGTCGCTCTAATCATTAAATATGTATAAGGCAATCTCAATTAAGCCGAGTCGATAATTCGATTAATTGCATGATACAGGTTGTCAAACGTAGCTTGTGCATTAAGCAACAATTATCGTTTAAAATTATTTGTCTTTCAATTTAGAAAATGAACTTCAACCAAAATTGCAATTTATTATCATTGCCTTGAAATAAATGACTGATTAATACCCAGAATTAGTGAAAAAAGTGCACTAATAACATAGATTTAATAATTGAAATGATGACCTGAAGAAAATTAATTAAATGATGAAGCATAACTATGTACATTGTGTAATATGATTCCTATCTGTTTAGTTATTTCTTGCACGCTATCCCACAATGCAGCATACGCTGATTGCCTTTATGTGCATTTAAAAAAAACGCGTTGCTTCACACCGCAGTACATCTCGTCTATCTATGCGTACGCTTTGTTCGCGGGAATTCATATTATTATATTACTAGTATATATCCTCGCAATTTTACGCAATATGCAGCACATAAATGCGCTAGTTGTTTCTACTAGTTAATGATGAAACCTCTCTCCTGGCGAACATTGCTTGTAAATCGCTAACGATATATACATGAAGTTAGTTGTTTATTGGGGGAAGCACTTACACTTGCAATAGCTCAGTCTGTATTCACGATTGCATTAAACTCACGAATGTACGTGTCTCGGAGGACTTTGATTCAAATTTGAATATGAAAATAAAATCGTGTATTGATTATTTCTATCTAGCACGGACCAACAATGGATTAGTCATTAACTGTGACGTTACTCAAAAATAACGTCCATGCGTTCATACGTCAACACTCTGACACAATCACCTTGACAGTTGAATGAGCGCCGCACTGTCGTCAACATTAATGCGACTATTGAATACGTCACGTTATTTTTATACAACTTCAAGTTCAGTCAACTCAAGTGTCAATATGATTATTATTAGGTATAGTTGAGTCAATGTCTAATGCTAAATATACACTAAGTAAAATACTAGCTGTCTTCCTGAGTATACATGGAGACGGCCAATTTTCAAACCCCAATTTTAAATACACATATTTTTAAACATTACAGTTCTTGCTGAAATATTTCAAAAATCTGTCAAAGTCAAGGATGGTCATCTATGGCGAATGTATGTCTATTCTATGTAGCTTGTTCTGTCTATGACGTCGATCACGTGACCGTATGCAAATCACAGTTATCGTATAAGCAGGTAGACTAGAGAGTAATTGCGGTGTGGTGGTGACTGTCTACTACTGTCTCCACTACTTCATTCTATCTCAGTCCGGCGTTACGGTCGTCAGTGCAAGTGCGTGTTTGCTCGCGTGCGGCTTGTCACTGCGGTCATTGTTAGTCTGCCGTTGGGACTGTTAGCACGAAGAGATGGGACCGTGCGTGCAATTGTTTATCATACTGGCCAACTGCTTAGTGTTGTTCGTTGCCTCCATACAGTCTGCAGCGTGAGTATATGTGCCATTGTTCATCTGAACAAAACAGAGTGGTATCGATTTGGAATGTTATGATTGTAGTAATGTGCTTTGAGTGCAGACTTGTGTACTTCGTTAGCGACGTGACGAAGAGCACTGAGTTTGTATTCTTCACTGTCACCGCAATGACAACATCGCCATTTACTCGACACCGCGAGTTGCGCACTGTGTATAATTGCCTCAGAGTAGTATAAAATAACAACGACTCTTCTACGTCCCGGTAGAATGGTGTTTCAATTCAAGTTACGTTTCGGGGTGTTTGTGGTTCCTCTTTATCAAACTGCAACCATGATAAGTGATGACAGGTTTGATATTACCATTCGCCACACACTAATACAATAACTGCTTTTCGTGTAATTGATTTCCCTTGATTAGCTTAACAGTGTTGTTTCTTGATATGAATCACAGTTGTCTTTTTCAAATTCACTTCGTGCACATCTGCTTGTTGTATTTACTGCCTGTGGAAAGCGACATGGTCGTGAGCTGTATAATAGTAGCGATCAGTTATTTGAAATTGTAGCCATGACGCTTCGACTGGACTACATTTTGCATAACAATTGTCAATGTTCACCCACTAATTCATTGAATATAATGTTATTTTATTAGGAACATGACGCAAGATGAAAGAAAACAAAGCGAATTCCTGGATAATCTATTCCGAAACTACGATTTGAGAATTCGCCCGAATTTCAACGGTAAGTTTATTTCTTTTATGACCTGTTGCGTGGTCCCATGCAAATCAAATACACCCCTGATTTTATTTAATGGTTTCATTCGATATTATTGTACCGTGATCGATATGATATCACCATGGCAACAGCGCCTCAGTAATTGAATTTTGGATAGCGCGGTATTCAGTATCGGTACGAAACAACTAGTCACTTCACTCGCCAACGTTATATGAATGCACTGTGTTCAATACATGTTTCAAATAGACATTGCGCCTCACTTCTAGTTCAAATCGTCCACAAACAGGCGAAGGCACTAAAACTGTACAGACCGAAATCCAACTGTTAATCGATCAAAAGATACCATGATGATGTTAATGAACCCTGTTCTGCGGCGGGCGGAAGATGTTATTTATCCTAGTAACAAAATACGTTCTGTGTATTATGTTATTATTGTAGGCCTAGACTCGTAAAGTCATAATTCGATGTAATAGTGACAATCTGTCACTTTGTCAATCACCAAGTACAATTGTCAAATAGCGTTGTTAGCTCAAGCTGCAATTAAGCAATTACCCCCGAGGACGTCATCTCACGAAAATAAGTCATTAAACAACGCTTTTATTCTATCACAAATTATAATTAGTAATGTTCACTTCGGCACCGGCAGTCGAACGTTTAAATATTTAGTTTCGTTACTGCGAACAAAATATACAGCCTGATGACCGGCTGTAATGTTACGCGCAGGTCTAATTGTCACTGTATTATAGGGAATAATGTCGTTTCTGAATGCGTTAGACATTCCAGTGTGCCAGCTAAGTGACACATTGTGCTCAGTTACTATATATAGTTTTAGATAAATTATTAATTTCAATTTTCAAAAATATTTTCCGAAGGGTCAAATATCGCGACAATTTTTACAAATCATCCAATCGACAGTGTGTCCATAAATTCATTGTTATCGTAAATCTTTACCCAGTAAGATTGATACTGTTAAAATAAACAAGCTTTATCGGCCCCAGGGCGAAACATTACGCGGTATTATGCTGTCTGTCGGCGGTACATGTATTGCGAAGCTGACGTTTCCCCCCACTGGAATCTACCTTCACCTGTTCATGTGTAGATAATTGTGATATAATATTATTTATCATACTTTATACACAGTCAATCCTTGAAATATACTACCTTACCTTTATTATAATGACGTTATAATATTTTTCATAAATTGCGGATAGAGTAGTGTACAGTTGTTGATAAGAATGATTTAACACCGATGTTGGCGTTTGCGTAGTATTTGTGCCAACTTTTATCAAGGTCGCCAACACTTTCGTGGTTCGTTTGTATCGTTCTATTATCCCTTCCAAAATTACTTTCACTTTAATGTCCACGTTACACAATTTGGCGATCACCAGACATTTTAAAAGCTGCAGCGATTTACTTACTGAGATAAAACGCAATAAAATATCATGTTACCAGTGAAATGAACAAGCAAATATATCTCACATGAAGCCATGTGATGAAATAAATTTAAACACTATACGTCGATCATACAACGTAAATCCTTAAAGCCGAGTAGAAAATCTTTGCCCTCGGGAAGGAAATTGACAACAGGGTGACTGGTAAGAAAATAATGCAATCGCCTTCGTGGCCAGTCTTCAGTATTATATTATAATCTTGTAATGCATCTGAATTAAATGTTAATAAGAATACTCGGATAATAAGATGTATTAAACTATCTAGTAAATACCACGTCCGTCGTTGCTTATCAAGTGTGTCACAGCAAAATGCCTTTCCTATTTCAATTACATTTTCATTTGTAATTACCTACTTGCATTTGCAATATTGCAACCTTTGGGCTGCACGCCGCAGCTTGTTATTAAACATTGACCCGTCATACAGACATGTGACTGCCGACAAGCCTAATAACCTCGAACAATAATGTACTAACTTGAAAACCAACACATGTTTAAACATTCATCTGGGCAAAAATGATTTTGGGAGTGATCATATGAATAAAATAAATCGTGCGATCTGGCAGATTATTCTAAAAAAAAAAAAAAAAAACTTCACAACATTTCAATGATAAGAATCCATGATTTGCCTTCTATCAAACTAATCTCTTGATTGGTGTCACCATTGCTTTATTTCAAGCAAGTGTACTCTGAAACCTCTGATATTTCATTATTTTTTTGCTGCGTTGAGATTTAGGAACTACCAATAAAACACGTTTCTGGAATGATTAAATGTAATTTTGCTCAGTCCTATCATAGAAGCAGCATACATTATTTATTTTGATTGCCTTGTCTGTTTACCTGGTGTGTGTGTGTGTGTCAATGTGTAATGTCGGTTAGCAATATTAGCTTCCGCGTGAACAATCCGTGATGCGTGCGGCGCATGAAAATATTAGAGACGTTCGGACAGTTGCTAAGAAAACGTCTAACGTAAATTTAATGAGTGACATGGTTAGCATTACGTGGGTCGCTAGATACCACTGTATCATTCCTGTTCAGTTATGGACGGCAACGTTTGATCATTCGTTGTTGATAGATATTTAATTTAAAGTGGTATAAAAATGTGGATAATAAAAATATATAGAATATTTTGTTTTACATTACAACAAATTTGCAGTTTCTAAAACGACTTGTTATTATAAGTCAATTGTATGTTGATGTGATTCTTGTGTCAGGAAATTGAAAATCGTACTTTAATTCAATAATTAATTAATTGGAGTAATTGCAGTACTAATTCTTGATTTTAATAATTAAAACATTTATTGGTTTTCACGTAGACTGTGATATGCCAATCATTACGTGAGACACGTGAAATCTCAAGGATGTGAACTAGGGATATATACAATCGATTACATTCACTCTGTATCAGCTGGACAGCCACCCATTATAGCGTAATCTTTTAAGCTCGGATGATTTCAACAGAAAAGTATTTGAGAAATCCACGCGAAAGATACCCACAATGTTATATCCTTGCTCTCCTCATAATGTACCGAGTTTGTGCGTGCAGTTAAGCTTAACAATTTCTATCGAGAGAATACTCACTTCAGTTGAATTCAAATGACATGTTTTTGTCTGAAAGGCACACTAATGATGAGTTGAATAGATATATTATGATGATCAATAAACACAGAACTAAGCTTTGACTACAATTACAATTTTACGCAGTATTGGAAAAATATTACATATATATTAGTGTGGACACATTGAGAGAAATGCCATATAATACCTAATTCACACGGAAAACCATGCATTTTCTTTATTCATTTTCTAGATGGCATACTCAGGTATATGGCATACGCCGGGATAATAGGATAATTTCTCAACCAATCAAATCTTTAATGACTCAATTTATTTCGCCAATACACATGATATTGAATGATGTAGTTTATTCTGTGGCTATAGTATATACCTTATGCATAGAGCTATGTGGTTTGTGTAATTACACAAAACCTGTGTCGTTTCTTTTCACTTCATTTGCGTGTATTTGTGGCATCAACTCCGGTTGCATTTTTCTAAGAATTCTGTAACAATATGGCAAAATGAACACGAATTAATAGTTAATAAAGGCCAAAAATGAAAGGAAAATATGCAAATGAAGTAGGCGCTTCTCAAATTGTTTCCCAATCAGCAACGATTGTGGCCATTCTGTATAACTGTGTTCGAAGAGACGTTGTATAACTGGTGAATTGAGGTGATATACTCACATTATATCATGTTGCACTAACCACAGACAATTGAATCAAAGTAACTGGGTACTATGAAATGCAATCATTTAAATTACTGTTTAGAAGAGGCCAAGGGCAAAATGATGTGCTATTGTGTTTACAAGCGTTATATATTATAATTTTATGCACAATTATGTACTACGCATGTTAGTTCGTTACGTATTTTTGTCAGTAACCTAGAGTGCCTTGTTCTGTTTTAGGCTTAGGCCTGAATACACATTTAGGAATGGAGAGCGTCATAAATTCGCATTTGAATAGGAAAATAATACTAAGTGTAATACCGCCGTTTTCAAAGTCAGTTAACTATCTACCAACAATAAACGCATATGTTCGACAGTAAAAATGGGTAAAATGTATAAAACAACGAGTTTCTGCAAACACCAAATACAATCCGCATGGCTTGCGTTAAACACAAAATACAGAAACGAGTGGTCTCGTATCACACACATCAGTAATTTAGTATTGACATTTATCAATTTAAACTCAAACGCATTGCCAACGTTTGGACGTAGCTATTGGGGCATAACGGTTGGCTGAATTGCAGGTGTCTATGTTCAAAGATTGATGGAAAAGAAGCGGTCCAGAGTGTGGACAAGATAACAGTTGTGATTACACTTCTCTCAGTGAATGGTCCGCAGGATGGTTATGGTTGACTGGCTGCGCCTGGTGCGCTGATTTGCGGTTGTCATTAGAAAGGATTATGCATATTGTTTAACGAAGACATGAACGCTAAATAATAATATATGAAAAATAATATTAATTACGGTTGAAAAAACCTTGACCAATCACGGCGCCTAAGATGATGGATAAAGCACGTGCAGAATATTTAGTATATGTCGCGTGCATGGCGGTAAATATTTTGAAGGCAACCCGCAAAAACGCGTTGGTCTAGTTGGCGTTACCTATAACACGTAATTATTTCATTTTAGGCAGTATTATATTTTGCAGTATTTTCTCATTAAATAACATTTAATCGGATTGTACATATTATATTGGAAAATATTTTGCAATGAACAAACACATGTGTGCCGAGAAACCAAACATACGTATTTAATTCTCTTAAAATAAAACAATATTGCCGAGTTGAAATCATCTGTTTAGAATAAGAACCGTAATTTGTTTGTCGGGGGACATAAATATTTCATACGCTTAATTTAAAACAAGCAATGTTGTTGATCATAAATGATTATTAATTTTATTACGTTTATTAAATTACTTTAACAACGTTTTTGGAAAGTGTTAAATTGGTCTGGAAAAAATGGCGGTTTAAATAGTAGACATAATAATGAATTGT